CGGCGCGATCTGGGCCAGCCCGGGGACTGGCCTGCAGCTGGGCTGGAGCGGCCGTGCCAAGAAGAGGTAGAAGAAAAGCAGACGGATGCCTCGGGCATCAAACCTGCTCCAGTAGGACGCTTTGCATGTGCAGCCTGTGCTCAGCTGGGATAATGCTAGGGCCTTTCTGCCGGTGCTTTTTGCACCCACTGGAAATCCTCGTAGGGTTTTTGAGTCGGGGTGGGGGGTTAATGCCAGGCTGCTGCTTTGGGCATGGCTAGCCTGGCTGCCTTGCAGCTGGCCCTCGCCAGTGGCATTGCCGTGACAGCGGTGCAGGGCACTATATCCTACACCATCCGCAGCCCACATGGGGAGGAAATGCCCGGGCGCTGCACCATCCGCTCCCCGCACCCCACAGGCCACGGCACGTGGCCAGACCCTCGGCTGCCCTCTTGTACCATGGGGCTGGCCATGGCGGGGAGCTGCAGGATCCAGCATGAGGCTGGGGAGGGGGAAGCTGAAGCAGGAGAGCTTGAAACGACTCTACCAGAAAAGAAAGAAGGTCAGCTCAGACCAAAAACTACAGACCCTCGGGCCTGTCTCGCCCTGTACCAGCTTCTAGCTGTGCTGGCGCAGCCCGCAAATGCCACCACTCTCCTGCCCCCCGAAAGCCAGCCTGCTGCCCTCCCCGGTGCCGAGTGCCTGGCTCACCCCGCTACCCTCGGAAGATGTGAGCTGGTGAAACCGAAACCCGCATCTGGTTTCCCCAGCCGCCTGTGAAGCAGCGGAGCTGCCCCACGGCCAGGCACAGGCAAGGCCAAGCTGTTCGTCAGCAGTGGCCCCCCCCTCCGCCGGTCACCGTGCAAAACTCGAAGCAGAACCAAGCGGCTCTTGGGCTGCTCCTTTCATGCACTGGCGTGACCTGCACAACCCAGCCCCTGGTGATCGCCTGCATCGCTCAGTGCCTTCAAAGCGGCTCTTGATTGATGTGTTTCCCTGACTCACAAGCTTCAAGAGGCTTTGAAGACACTGGGCCAGGCTCTGATCTCTCTTATGCTGATGCAAATCAGGAGCAATGGTGCTGACAATAGTGCAATAATCCACACTGATGTCAAGCCAGTAAAAATAAGAGCAGAAACAATGTTTTGGTCTTTCCTCTGCCTTGAAGGGATCCGAGCAGCACTGAGAAGCAGAGCGGCAAAGCATGCAAAGAAAACTTGGTGTAAAGCAAAGGACACGTAACTCTGTAGAGGGCACTTGTTCTTTCCTGCAGCTAAGAAGCATTTTAATTTTTTTTAACAGCTAAGAAAAATAAGACTGAGACTTCGGTGTGAAATGCAAGCTCTCAGCCAATGGCATCACCACGGCTAGGATTAGGCCTGGGGAAAGCCCCAATGCTGCTGGTTTCAGCCCAGTAGCAGCACACTTGGATGTATTCGCATTTCTCATCTGAGACTGCTGACAGCATGAGAGCTGCGGGCAGTGCCTGGGAAACGCTGATTTAGGGGCACGAGGAGGATGGGTTATCCCAGGGCAAACCAGGACGTGGGAGGCAAGAGCTGTGAACGGCCCCAGACAGGCAAGACACCAAAAGCTGGGCATCACTTTTTGCCCCGGGTGCTCCCAGACTGGGAGTGCCGGCTGGCCCCAGCCCCTCTGGGGACATGGGGCAGGACTGCCACTCCCACAGGGGCTCCTGTGCCGAGTGGCACCCTGTCCTCACGCCACGCACAGCCACCCACCCAGCAGAGCCCTGCATGCTGGGGGGGGTTCCCCAGGGCTGCTGGGCTCCCAGCCACCGCCGGCCCCCCCTGTTCACAGCCCCCTGTCACCCTCTCCCCCAGGTGTGGTTTCAGAACCGGCGAGCTAAATGGCGCAAGCGGGAGCGGTTCGGCCAGATGCAGCAGGTCCGGACCCACTTCTCCACTGCCTACGAGCTGCCCCTGCTCACCCGTGCTGAGAACTACGCCCAGGTGAGCGCATGCCCCCTCCCTGGTCCGTCTGTCCCAATGCCTGCTGGACACACCGCCTCTGCTCCCAGTCCCCCCCAGGTGATGCTTCGCTTCTCAGGTTCATCCACCTGCCCTCAGGCAAGGCTGCAAGAGTGCCGGGGCTGGGGCTTTATTACCAAGCACTGAAGGGCCAGGAATTATTTAGCTGGGTGTCCTGGCCAGCCGCCTCATGCCCTGGCCGGGTGCAGTCGTCTCTAAAGCAAGCAGCAAGCCCAGCCCTGTGTGGTGTGGTGCAGCCACCCTTTGGGCGCAGGTCACCCTGCTCAGCACAGCCCATTACACTGTCCTTCTCCCGTCATGTGTGCTGCTGCCCGCTAACTTCCCACTGATTTGGAAAAGGTCCTTAAGGCTATTTAAGGCCTTAAAACCAGCAGTTCCCAGGAAGGCTTCCTGTTGCCATGCCTAGGTTTCCATGCCCCTTCTTTAGGAGGTTGGACGACAGCATTTTTCCCCTGGCAAATTCCCACAGCCATCTCCCAGCAATGGGCTGTGGTACCCACAGTGCACTCGGTGACGTCTGGGGATGCTTCCCGAGGGTCTTGTGGGTTTGCACTCCAAAGGAAGGGTGGGATCAGCCTTCTCAGGGTACCTGGGGATGCTCCCAGGGGCTCCCAAGGCTGTTCCTGCTCCGGCCCAGGAGGCAGGTGACTCCCTCCTTCACTTCCCCTCCTGGGAAACCTGTCGCCACAGTAGCATCCTAGGCAGCGGGCCAGCCCCCGGTTCACAACGCTGCCTTCAGACACTGCCAGGGTGGACGGGCATTCATTAGCTTGAGGGCTAGGCTGTGCCCCCTCAAAGCACTCCCTCCATCCTGCCGGCTCCTCTTCCTGCCACCCAGAATTTGCTCAAGGGTGCAGTTTTGCAGGTGTGATGGTCTGAACCTGACTTGTCCTCACAGATCTGCTGGGAGTCCTCCCCGCCCCGATGCCCTGGCTGTTAGCTACCTCCCCAGCCAGCGCTGCACCAAAGCTCCCCTGTGGCCAAGCCAAGAGCATTTGACCTCTCTCTTGCTTGGCATCTCCCCCGAACTGAACAAGAAGCCCTTATGAAACAGCTGAGAGATGCCAAAGCAGCTTTTCAAGCAGAGGACGCTCTCAGCAGACTTTTCAGCACTCCCTTCTTTGTAACATATACTGCTCCCTCCCTCCATACTGCCCTCCTCTCCCAGCCCTAGAGATCAAAAAAATGAAAAGCAATTTGCAGGAGGTAAGAGATCAGAGAGGGCCCGAGGGCGAGTGGTGCAGCAGGGCGGTGGGATGAAGGGCCCTTTGCTCTCTTGCTCCAGCCAGCTGCTCACCTCCTTCCTGCTTTCATCCTGCACGCCTGTCCCCCCCGCCGCAGCTCACCTACTCCCGCTGGCAAACACTGAGCCCCCCTCTCTTCTTCTGCAATATCATTTAATGAGTGAGGCTGCAGGAGCCCAGACGGCCGCATGAGGTGGCCCCACAGGGCTCTGCTCTGCAACAGGGCGGGTGATGCTTCCTCAAAGGGCAGCGAGCGCCGCTGGGGAGAGGGGCAAGGAAACTGCCTGTGCCGGGGGCTGCGGGCAGCTCAGCTCTGACAGGCACGTCTGTCGGCTGCAAAAAGGCTCTTGCCTAGCCAAGGCCGCCCTGGGCTGGGGCAGGAGGATGGATTGGTGGTCTCGCAGCATCCCTTTCTGCCTGCCCCCTCTATAGCGGGTAGACCCACAGGAACACTGTGGATGACACCAGGTTTCCTGTGCCAAGAGCTTCAGAAAGTGCTCATGGTGCAACAAAAAAAAAAAAAAAAAAAAAAAAAGGAAGGGGGGGGGGGGGGGGGGGGAGAGACACAGACAAACAGAGAGACAACATGGCAGAGCAGGGGCACCGTCCTGCTCTCCTATTTGTTATTCTCCAGTGCTCCCTGCCCTTGCCAGCGCTGGCATATGGATTTTGGAGGGCACCTGCTGGCTCCGGGGGGGCTGCTGGTGCCACTGCTGGCAGGGGCCAGTGTCCCACGTCCCACCACCCTGGCTGCCCTTTGGGTGCAGGGCTGCCCTGCGGGGTGGCGG